TCCTCTGTCACATTTTCAAAGTTCCTGTAAGAGCTGTAACTGAGGACATAACTCAGCCTTTAGTTCCTGTGCCACAATTCCAAAGTTTCTGGCAGAGGTTTTTACTCGAGGCGGAACTAACCTTGTAGTTCCTGTGTTGGTTTTTCAAGTTCCTGTCTGAGCTTTTACTGTGGACGGAACTAGCGCTCTAGTTCCTGTGTCCCCTTTCCAAGTTCCTGTCAGAGCTGTTACTCATCATATCACTCAGTCTTTAGTTCCCGTGTCGCCTATTCAAATTTTCTCCCAAAGCTTTTACTCAGGATGGAAATAGCCCTGTTTTTCCTGTGTCACATTTTCAAAGTTCCTCCCAGAGATTTTCCTAAAACAGACTAGCCCTTAGTTCATTTGTGGTTGCCTTTTCAAAAGTTCGTCTTGAGCTTTTACTCTGGATGAAACCAGCCCTTTAGTTCCTGTGTCACCTTTTCAAAATTCCTGCCAAAGCTCTTACTCAGGATGGAATGAGCCCTTTAGTTCCAGTGTCACTTCTGCAAGTTCCTGTCTAAGCATTTTCTTTTACGGAACTCTCCCTTTGTTTCCTGTGTCACCTGTTTAAAGTTCCTGTCTTTAGCTTTTACTTTGGACGGAATTAGGCCTTTTGGTCTCGTGTCACCATTTCAAAGTTCCTCCCAGGGCGTTATTCAGGATGCAACTAGCCCTTTGGTTTCTGTGTCACATTTTCAAAGTTCCTTCCAGAGCTTCTACTAGAAGGGATTAGCCCTTTACTTCCTATGTCACCTTTTCAAAGTTCCTGTCAGAACTTTTACTCAAGATGGAACTGACCCTGGAGTTTCCTTGTCACTTTTTCAATGTTGCCCTCTGATCCTTTTCTTTGGATGGAACTAGCCCTTAATGACTGTGTCACCTTTTCAAAGTTCCTCTCAGAGCTTTTACTCAGGATGGTATCAGCCCTTTAGTTCCTGTGTCACATTTTCAAAGTCCCTGGCAAAACCTTTCCTAAGGATGGAACTCGCCCTGCTTTTCCTGTGTCACATTTTCAAAGTTCCTCCGAGAGCTTTCACTACAACAGACTCGCCCTTCATTTCCTGGATCACCTTTTTAAAGTTCCTGTGAAAGCTTTCACTCATCACGGAACTACCCTTTGCTGCCTGTGTCACCTTTTCATAGTTCCTCTGAGAGCTTTTACTCAGGCCATAACTCGGCCTTTACTTCCCGTGCCACATTCCCAAAGTCCTGCCAAAGCTTTTACTCGGCGTGGAACGAGCCATTTTTTTGTGTCTGTGTCACTTTTTCAAAGTTCCTCCTCTAACTAGAACAGAATAGCCCTTTAGTTCCTGTGTCACACCTTTCCAATGTTCCTGGCAGAGCTTTTACCCATGATGGAAATAGCCCCTTAGTTCCTGTGTCACATGTCCAAAGTTCCTGACCAAGCTTTCACTCACAACAGAACTAGCCCTTTGGTTCCTGTGTCATATTTTCAGAGTCCAGAACAAAACTTTTTAACTCAGGAGAAAACTAGCCCTTTTGTTCGTGTGCCACAATTTCAAAGTTCCTGGCAGAGGTTTTACTCAAGACGGAACTAACCTTGTAGTTCCTGTGTCACTCTTTCCAAGTTCTTGTCTGAGCTTTTTACAGTGGGCGGCACTAGCGCTCTAGTTCCTGTGTCCCCTTTCCAAGTTCCTGTCAGAGCTTTTACTCAGGATAGAACTCAGTCTTTACTTCCTGTGTCACATTTTCAAAGTTCCTATCAGAGTTTTTAATTAACACATGACTCGGTCTTTAGTTCCTGTGTTACCTTTTCAAGGTTCCTGCCAAGGCTTTAACTTAGGATGGAACTAATCCGGTTGTCCCTGTGTCACATTTTCAAAGTTCCTGTCAAAGCTGCTACTCAGGACATAACCCGGCCTTTACTTCCTGTTGCCACATTTCAAAGGTCCTGCCAAAGCTTTTACTTGGGATGGAACGAGATGTCTTTGTTTCTGTGTCACCTTTTCAAAATTCCCCCCGGTGCTTTTACTGGTGACGGAAGTACCCTCTGCTTCCTGTGTCCACCTTTTCATCCTTCCTCCGAGAGCTTTTACCCAGGACATAACTCGGCCTTTAGTTCCTGTGTCACCTTTTCAACATTCCTGCCAAAGCTTTTACTAGCACAGAGTAGCCCCTCACTTCCTGTGTCACCTTCTCAAAGTTCCTGCCCCACCCTTCCTCAGGATGGGTCGAGCCCTTTGGTTCCTGTGTCGCCGTTCGATCGATCGATCGATCGAGAGGATGACAGCTATCGTCTCACGTTTCGGGCTCCCCTTCCTTCTTTCGATCTTTCCTCCCCATCCGCCCTTCTGTGCCTACAGACCGGCCTTGTTCCACGAAGCATTTCACGTGGCGTCCTCAGCCCGTACGGAAATGCCAAACCACTCAAAGCGAAAGCGGGAAAACTCAAAAAAGGAAGGCAAGATGTGTCCGAAGAGCTCAAAGCAAACATCTGCCGGCCAATGTCCTCACTGCGTCCCTCCTCTCTGACCCCAAACACATCCTCGGTGCTCTCCAAAGCGACTGGCCACCCAAACCACCAATTTAAACCAACACGAGGGGGCACCCCCTTCCCCCCAAAAACCCAGAATTCATTCACCAAAAACTCCACGTTCGTATTTGTGTTGACGCCCGTCTGCGCTTCCGCCGTTTCTTGTTTCACCTCTTCCACGTCGGCCAGGCGCTTCCCTCGGTCGACTTTTTTTTTTCGTCCGGGGAAACCCCCCCCCCCAAAAAGGGTTGATTTCGGGGTGAGACTGGGTAGAATCGTGAGGGTGGGCCACGGGGGTCGTGCCACGTGGGGTGAAAAACGGTTGGACGCTCAGCGCCGTGCCGGCAGGTGCACGCATCCGTCACCCGTCACGAACTTTCAAACGCCTTGGAAAAAATCCAAGAAAAATTCACGGACACCCAGCACAGCCTCTCACCCCAGCACCGGCTGGTCATGGAGGCTGACGGGTTCCTAGAATGCGCCACGCCTGGGTCGGGGCAGGGGGGAGATTCTGGATCCCCGAGGGGCCCGACCTCCAAAAATGAATTTGGGATTTTTTTTTGAGGGGGGGTCTCCCCGCAAAAGTGCACACTCTCTCCAAAATTCTCCACCGACAACCCTCTGAAATTTACTTATTTATTTATTTTTGAGTTGGAGTCTCACTCGGTCACCCAGACCGGAGGGCAGCGGCCGCTCCCGCCCACCGCCGCCTCGACCCGCTGGGCTCCGGCGATCCTTCCGCCTCAGCCTTCCGAGTAGCCGGAATTACAGGCACGCGCTCCCACGCCCGGCTGATTGTTTGATTGATTGCAGAGATGAGGTCTCGCTGCCCAGGTGGGTCTCGAACCCGCGGGCTCAGGCGATCCACTCACCTCAGCCTCCCAAAGGCGCGGGATGACAGGCTGAGCCACCGAGCCTGGCTCACCCCCCAGAAATTCATCCTCCAATGGCCTCCAAGTCTCTCGACGCATCCTCCCTCCTGTGAATCCTACCTGGCGGCCGCCATGGCTTTCCCTCCCATTTCGTTCACGCTCCATCCTCACCGGGGCTCATCTTTGCTTTTATTTCACATCAGGGCTGAGCCCACGGCCCCCTCCGGCTGTGTCTACACATAAAGTTTTATGGGGACGCTGCCACACGCTCCTCTCCTTCAGGACACCCAACAACGCCACGCAGGTCAAAGCGGGACACGGTAAGATGGCGGTCCCGTGAGACTGCGTGTTGGCTTGGGCCTGGCGGCCATCATCCCAGCATGCGGGGAGGCCGAGGACAGTGATTTTCGCCGCAACAAAATCCCCTGACAACACGTTTCTCGACGGGAAGCCCCATCGTTGGGCGGTGCATGACCATGCAAGGGGGGGACCCGAAAGAAACCAGAAATTTTTTAGGACGGGTGAGGCCCCTTGTAGGCTTTCCCCCCGCCGCGAGGTACGTGTTTCAGGAACCCGTCGGCATCGAGGACCAGCTCGCGCTGTTGTGAGAGGCCGTGTTGGCCGTCTGTGAAATCTTTTTTGGACATTCTTTCCACGCCTTGGCCCGTGTCACGACGGGTGATGGACGCGTCCACCTGTCCACACCGCGCTGAGGGTTGCGCGGTTTTTGACCAAACACAGCATGACCCCCGTGTCCCACGTTCCCTGTTCACCCGCTGTCGCCCTGGGTAATTTTTTTTTGATTTTTCCAGATGAGAAAAAGGCCTCCCAGGGAAACGTTTTGCCCAGGTGGAAGAGGCGAAACCAAAAAACCGGCAGGCACACTAAAAGGTGTCAACGTGCACGAGTTCAAAAACCGTCTTGAGCCATGGAAAAACCAACCCGCTTAGGTGCACTGCACCCAACAGAGAGTCCTTTGAAGGTGACTGACATTTAAACATATAAGAGTAAATACACAATTTTTTGCTAAATAAATTGGAGGTGATTTTGAGTCTGGACCGTAATTCGGAAAATAGTTACTATCTGGACCCTTAGAGAAACGTTGGCCCCGAACCCGCGCGCTGGAAGGCTGAGGCGGAAGGATCGCCGGAGCCCAGCAGGTGGAGGCCGCAGTGGCCGGGAGCGGCCGCTGCACTCCAGTCTGGGCGACCGAGTGAGACTCCGACTCAAAAAAAAAAAAAGAAAGGTTGGCTCACCTATTGTTATCAGTCGGCATCACTGAGCTGTTCTTTCTACTCTCTTCTTCTTTTTTTTTTTTTTGGTACAGACAGGGTCGTGCTATGTTGGCCAGGCTTCTCTCAAACCCAAGCAATCCTCCTGCCTCAGCCTCCCTAAGTGCTGGGCTGACAGCCATGAGCCACCGCACCTGGCACCAAGGGTCTTTTCCGCGGTTCCTTCATGTTTACCTATGAGCTTCCCGGTCTCTTCCCGTCACCCTGACGGGAATTGTTCTTCGATTCCCCTCTTTGTCTGCGTCAAGCGACCATTCGTTGGCAGGGATCTGGGTACCCGCCCTCGCCTCCCTGCCTGAATTCCAGGCCCTGCGCGCTCACCATCAAAGCTGCCATGCTCCGTGGCGTGTCGCAGCAGGAGGCTGTGCGTTTCGAGGGACGGTCTGAAGACGAACACCCCGCTGTTGAAGCAGTCCGGCCACCCAGGATCGGGAGCTGCAGAAAACTCTGTCCGGTCAAACAGCTCGTCAATATTGGACAAGACCTGGTGGAGCGAAACACAGAGAGACTCATGAGGCTTCTCTTAGCCCCCGTGGGCAAAAGGGATTTGGGGAGGGGGCACATTCTGGGTGACTGGAAATCTGTGCTCGGTTTTCTGAGTGGCTCTGATAAAACTTTCTGGCTTATGGCTTTTTGGCTTTACGTATTCAGGACCCGTGTTGTTAGTTGCGTACAAGTTTGAGCCTCACAGCTTGAAAGATTGCACTTTTGGGGGGCTTATACTCAAAGGAGAAACATTTGTCCAAAACAGAGAAAAAAGCCGGGCTTGGTGGCTCGGCCTGTAACCCCAGCACTTTGGGAGGCCGAGGTGAGTGGACTGTCCGAGCCCGCGGGTTCGAGACCCGCCCAGGCAATTTGGCGAGAGCTCATCTGTACAATAAATCAAAAACTAGCTGGGCGTAGTAGTGCGCGCCTGTAGTTCCGGCTACTGGGAAGGCTGAGGCGGAAGGATTGCCGGAGCCCAGCAGGTCGAGGCTGCGGTGGGTGGGAGCAGCCACTGCACTCCAGTCTGGGTGACAGAGTGAGAATCTGACTCAAAAAAAAAAAAAAAAAAAAACCAGACAAAGACTTCTCTCCAGTCTGTTTCAAGCAGTGGATGTAACACAGTCTGAAATTCATTCCTCAAGGTTCTTACGTCCCTCTGTAGAATTCTCTTGGTTGGATAGTCTCTCTACTCTAGCAAATGTGACCGGCGAAACTATGTAGCAGTTTGAAAGTCCACGTACTGTAATCATTGGCCTGGGGGAAATTTCACTACTAATGGCAATCCCCTCTACCCCATAATTGACTTTCTAAGTCGTGGTCTTGTGGGGGGAAATAAGCACATTAATCTCATGACGCGATTGTCCCTTTTCCCCCCACTTTCGACAGAGCTGCTTTTGCCTGAACAAAACAATCAATTGGGACCTGACTTCCAACACTCTGATGGCATTTTACGTTTTGATTTTCCAAAGGCTGCTTCTGAAAGTATCCATCGTGAATGTCTACACTGCATGTCACTCTCCCAAATGACAATGAGGAGATGCCACTGCTCAAGCGGTCAGCTGAGTCAGGCTCGGTGGCTCAGCCTGTAATTCCGTGCTTTGGGAGGCCGAGGTGAGTGTATTTGCCTGAGTCTGCGGGTTCGAGACCCACCTGGGCAACTTGGCAAGACCTCAGCCCTACAATAATTCAAAAACGAAGCAGGCGTGGTAGCGTGTGCCTGTAGTTCCGGCTACTCGGAAGGCTGAGGCGGAAGGATCGCCGGAGCCCAGCAGGTCGAGGCTGCGGTGGCCGGGAGGGCCACTGGACTTCAGTCTGGGCGACAGAGTGAGACTCCGACTCAAAAAAAAAAAAAAAAAAAAAGAGGTCAGCTATATCCATCCAGTCAGGACCACCAAACTCAACATGCAATCAAGGCAAAAACATTTCTTTCCTAATGATTCTCCTTTGGGCAGTTGAAATAATGTGATTCTACAAAAGTGAACTGGATACGAAAAATGTGGTACATGTACACGATGGAAGATCCCGCAGCCATAAAGAAGGACGCATTTTTGGACTTTGCAACAGCGTGGATGGATTTAGCATCTATCACACTCAGGGATGCTTGTAAACCACCCTTGAGGAAGGGACATGTCTTCCAATCCTGCACGGTCCTCGGCAGGTCTATCTAGCACAGTCCCGGGGGTACGTCATAGATCGGATTCTGAAGGACTGTATGTCCATGTCCGAGGCAGAGACGGACATCACCTCACAGGAATCTACCCACAGGAGCCGACAGCCCGCCTGAGGACGGGGAGGCCCGGTCTGTGAGGGCCCCTCGTCGTGCGGGCAACCTGGTCTTCACCATCCCCGGAACTCACCAGAGTGTCCGCATCCAGAAAGACACACTTGCTGTAATGCGTGAGAGTCCAGCAGTGAAGCTTGGTGAGGGTGACCCCGAGCTCAGGCCTCTTCAGAAAGGCCAGGTGGATATAGTCTGCGCTGTCCAGCAGATTCACTTCGATGACCTCATCAAACACCCGCGAGAGGAGGACCCTGAAAAACGCGTGTCCGAAGACCGGGACAGCAGGTGAACGTGCAGCACAGAACAACCTTCCCCTTCCAGAAGACGCTGTTGCAAATCTAACGCCCCATTACACTCACTGTGGTCTTCACGTGAAGAGTTTATTTTCCAGCCGGGCTCGGTGGCTCAGCCTGTGATCCCGCACTTTGGGAGGCTGAGGTGAGTGGATTGCCTCAGCCCGCGGGTTCGAGACCCGCCTGGGCAACTTGGCGAGACCTCCTCTCTCCAATAAATCAAAAAATCAGCCGGGCGTGGCAGCGCACGCCTGTAGTTCCGGCTACTCGGAAGGCTGAGGCGGAAGGATCGCCAGAGCCCAGCGGGTCGAGGCTGCAGTGGCCGGGAGCGGCCACTGCACTCCAGTCTGGGCGACGGAGTGAGACTCCAACTCAGAAAAAAAAAGAGTTTATTTTCCACGCTTGCCTGAGAACTGTGCGCCATTTTCACTCATGCCCAAAACGTACGCCTACTTGGAAAACCTGGCAAATTGAACAGAACTGTCTTAAGATGCTAGACTGGCTTGGGCCATCTCTTAAGAAGGTGGCTTTCCTCTGTAAAACACATGGGCAGTGGGAAGTCAATGCAGGTGGACACCCACAGTTGTCTGTGGTGATCTATCGGTTTTGACTTTATGTATTCAAAACCCACGTTGTTAGTTGCCTACAAGTTTGAGTCTCGAGGCAGGAAAGATACTTTTAATCGAAATGAAATTCACCTCTGTCCTATTTGTTTATTTGTGCTGAAATGCAACTTTGTCATAGCTCGGCACATGCTGAGATAGCAAAAAGTATAAACAAGTGCTAGAAAATGGGGGCGGGGGCACGTCAAAAGAAACAGGAGGCCAAACTAGGGGGAACTCCCAATGACTCAAGCTAAAACAATTTGATCAGCAAAATAAACAACAGACCCAAAGCATGAAATACATCTTTACGGATCTCCACTGATGTGACAAAGAAACAAATACACAAGACGAGAAAGGTGGACCTCACAAAAGAATTCCAAGTAATAAGTCTAGAAAGAATGAATAGAAAATCGAAAATCACCATGGGGCAAATACCCCATAACAACCGCGGCCGACAAGATTCACTGATGGATGCTTTCATCAAAGGGCGAAAATTTGAGGAGAAACAGGCTGTCTGCATAATCTTAATGGGTCTCTCACAAGATATTGACTCATGACGAGAGCAAAAAATAATTTTGCCGTAGAGAACTCCAGAAGACATCACTTTATCCAGGTAATCAAGTTCAACCCCACCAGGACAAGACCTAGTGACACCATGTATTCCTAGAGACAACACACTGAAAAACAAAACCAAAAAAAAAACCCCAAAATAAACACTATCACTTCTAATAACGTGTGTGTGGTGGGTGTGTGTGGCGGGTGTGTGTGTGTGTGTGTGTGTGTGTGTGCGCGCGCGCAGAAATGCATAAGCTCGGCCAGGTGTGGTGACTCAAGCCTGTCATCCCAGCACTTTGGGAGGCCAAGGTGAGAGGATTGCCTGAGCCCCTGGGTTCGAGACCCACCTGGGCAACATGGGGAGACCTCGTCTCTACAACACATCAAAAAAACCAGCTGGGTGTGGTCGCGTGTGCCTGTAGTTCTGGCTACTTGGAAGGCTGAGGTGCAAGGGTCACTGGAGCCCAGCAGGTTGACACTGGGGTGGCCATGAGTGTGCCACTGCACTCCAGCCTGAGCGACAGAGTGAGACTCCAACTCGGGGGAAAAAAAAAAAAAAATGCATGACCTCAACCCAATTGTGAGAAAACACTGGACAAACCCAAACTGAAGAGTAATCTATAAAATAATTGATGATTCCTTTTAAAAAGTCAAAGTCAGAACACGTCAGTGAAAAACCGAGGTTCTGTCAAAGAGTCTAGAAGATTACAAGAAATAAAACCACTGGGCATCATGGATTCAACCGGGCATCATGGATTCAAGGGTGGGAAAGCATCATATTACACCATGTGAATCCATTTATTTTTAACATTTTTAGTGGTTGAGCTACCTCATGTATAGCATATGCCCGGATTTTCTGTTTGTTTTCCCATGCCGAAAGTCTCTCTTTTTTCAAAGAAACTTTAATCCATTCGCCTTTATTGTAATCACTGCTACCGCTGGTATTTGGATGGAGTCCTTCGGTTTTGCTTGATCGTTTTCCTGTTCTTAGTATTTATCAGACTTTTCTGGGGGGTGGGGGGCAGAGTCAAGGTCTCACCATGGCTCACCGCAGCCTCAACCTCCTGGGCTCAGGTGATCCTCCCACCTCAGCCTCCCGAGTCACTGGGACTACAGGCACGTGCCACCAGGCCCAGCTACTTTCTGACTTACTGGATTTCCTGTGTCTTCATTGGATTCCCCTTCCATTTGGCTGGAGCACACATCAACTCACTCCCCTCAAAGGTCTTTGAGGGGCAAAACTTTTGAGATCTGCACGTGTGCAACACCCTTGTTTTGCTTTCGAACGACGCTAACAAAGCTGATTTCATCTCAGGGTGACCTTTCACCAGAATTCTCAGCTTGTCTCAGCCACGCCCGGACCCTGGAAGGCATTTACGTTTTTCCCCTTCATTCTTGGCGCTCTCGGAATGTCAGCGCTTGATGTCTACGGGGGCACTTTTCTCTGCGACAAAGAGCTCTGTGATTTACACCCTAAATCTTTCGGCTCAGCTCTGCTTGTTTCCTTCAAATAAGCTCCTGGAAGCAGAATTAAGTTTCGTGACAACAATTTGTTTTCCGCTGGACTTCTGGGATGCTCGTGGGATTTTTTTTTTTTTTTTTCTCTCCTGCAGAGAGACCACCCTGTGACGTGCTGGTACCACACCGCTGGGACAATGGGGGGGGGTCTCTTAACACCCACACCCCTGGTCATTTACGGTCATCGACAATGCCCTGAGGACCACTGGATACCAGCTCGCAAACCTGCAAACGATTGTGAAATGCACACATAAGGCGTCCTATAAAAGCTCAACGCCGTCTGCAACACTGACCCCGTCCCTCTAGTTCTGCCATGTTGTTTCTCAAAAATTTTTTTTTTTTTTTTTGAGTCAACTGGAGTTCAGTGGTGCAATCAAGACCCCATGCAGCCTCAAACTCCTGGGCTCAGGTGATCCTCCCACATACTACAGGTGTGTATTACCAGCCTAGATCATTTTAAAAAAAAAATTTTTTTTGGTGGTAGAAACAGGGTCTCACCGTGTGTCCCAGACTGGCAGGTCTGGAAATCGTGGCCTCATGTAATCCTCCCCCCTCAGCCTCCCTGAAAGCTTATTCTTATGAATATTCGTTTCTTATTCCCAATTATGCCGTTTTGTTTTTTTTTTATCTTCATGAATTGCTTCCTACTATTCGCTTTCTGTATTTCTGTTTGTTTGCTTTAAGTATTTACGCTGGATCATTTATTCAGCGGTATTTTCCCTTCTGACCTCAAATCAGCTACCTTCTTTGGCTAGAACAGGCGGTCTTCACCCTGCAATAATTTCCTTAGCTACTGCATCGTTCAGACTAGTGATTTAGGAGAGCGCTTCTGGTTTCAAGAGTCTGAGAGGACCTGGGTTGGTTTCTTGTGCGTTCCTTGTTCTACCACCGACATCCAAATCTGTGCATGACAGGCGCAGAGGACGACACTCGAGCAGCCTGTTCCGCGCCTCCTGCTCCCAGGGGCACGCAATCGATTTTTCAAAGTGGCTCGTGGTGGATGAGAGAAAAAATAATTGTTTGCATAATGAATAACGTCTCGGAGAAGGCTTACTCATCATTTAACAGATAGGTTTACTGATTGACCTGCCTTACTTGTGAGTTAAATAATGGGATAGATAGACAGACAGACAGATGAGAGGGGACCCAAAAGAAACTGGAATTTATTGATCAAAAATTGGGGGTTGATCTCTCTCTCTATTTATTTATAAAGACATTTTTAATAAACATAAATATATGTTGTATATAATAGATCTTGTTTAGACACAGCAGATTATACGTATGATAGATTATATATTTTACATATATAATGGATTTTGCTTTTATGCTTATAGAGCGGTGACCGCCGCATATAGGGTCACTGTCAGTATATCTAAAATGTGAGCATTACGATTAATTACTGAATGCTTCCCGCCCGAATTCTTACATGCAGAAAAATATAAACGTATGTAATACTTCTTGCTTTGTTTTCCTCTACGTGCTATTCAAGGTCTCTCTGTCCACCCTTTATTTAAAAAGTATATTGGATAATATAAGGTCTTTTAGGTCAGGCACCGTGGCGCACGTGAGTCATCCAGCACTTTGGGAGGCTGAGGCAGGAGGATTACTGGAGGCCAGGAGTTCGAGACCAGCCTGGGCAACATACCGAGACCCTGTCTCTAAATATACACGTGCATATATATTCACATGTATATATATATGTATTTTAAACTAGCATAGTGTTGCAAAAATATTTACAACAATTATTTACTCTACATACTGCATGTTTTTTTGTGTGACCGTTGGGTTTTTTTTTGAGTTGGAGCCTCACTCCGTCGCCCAGACTGGAGGGCAGCGGCCGCTCCCGGCCACCGCAGCCTCGACCCGCTGGGCTCCGGCCATCCTTCCGCCTCAGCCTTCCGAGTCGCCGGAATTACAGGCGCGCGCTACCACGCCCGGCTGATTTTTGATTTATTGTAGAGATGAGGTCTCGCCAAGTTGCCCAGGCGGGTCTCGAACCCGCGGGCTCAGGCAATCCACTCACCTCGGCCTCCCAAAGCGCGGGATCACAGGCTGAGCCACCGAGCCCGGCCTGCAATTTTGCTTGCTTCTTGCTTTGCCAGAAATAATTTTCTCCTTAAGGTCCGTATTTTAGTCCAATGGCATCAAGGTTCATGAAAAGAAGCCATCGGGAGCCGGGTGTGGTGCTTCACACGTTTCATCCTCGCCCTTTGGGAGGCAGAGGCAGGAGGATCGCCGGAGCCCAGGAGTTCGAGACCAGCCTGGGCAACAGAGCAAGACCCTGTCACGACGACAAATTTAAACGTTAGTGCGGCACGGTGGCACACGCCTGTAGTCCCAGCGACTCGGGAGGCGAAGGTGGGAGGATCCCCCGAGCCCAGGAGGCCGAGGCTGTGGTGAGCTGTGATTGTGCCAGTGCACTGCAGCCTGGGCAAGATAGCAAGACCCTGACTCCAAAAAAAAAAAAAAAAAAGGCCTCCAGTCATGACGACAGTGCCTGCGGGGGACAGAGGTGACGGTCCTCATGCCAGGACCTAGCAGGACACAGGTGGCATCTCCAAGTCTTACCTGAGCCGGCGGGACACCTGAGGCGTGATCAGCACCACCAGCTTCCTCGTCAGCCGGTGGCTCTTCAGGGACTGGCCCAGGACCAGGGTCCCCTGGCAGTAGATGTCATTGGTGGCCAGCGTGACAAAGGCCTGGTCAGCCACTGTGAACACCGACAAGAGCGCCAGAGTTAGACACCGGAGAGACCTCGGGCGACCACAGAGGTCGTGGCGGCTCACACCCGTCATCCTAGCCCTTTGGGAGGCCGGGACGGGAGGACGGGTGGAGCTCAGGAGTCCGACACCCGCTGGGGCACCGTGGCCAGACCTCAGCTCTACCGGAAAAAAAAAAAAAATCAACACAAAGATCAGCCAGGCGGGGTGGTGTCAAGCTGTAGTCCCAGCTACTCGGGGAGGCTGAGGTGGGAGGATCACCGGAGCTCAGAGGGTTGAGGCTGTGGTGAGCCGTGAGCCTGTCGCGGCGTCTCCAGCCCGGGTGATAGAGACCTTGGCTCCAATAAATAAGTCCATAGATAAGCAAATGAATGAATGAAGTGACCTGCAAACCCCCGGGCTCCTGGGCGACAGAGGGAGACCCTGACTCCAGTAAAGAAGTAAAATACATAAACACATGAATCCATAAATAAGGAATGAAGGAAGGAATAAGTGAATGAATGAATGAATGAACGGATGGATGAAGCGACTTTCAAATAACTGGGTTCTCCGGCGACAGAGGGAGACCCTGACTCCAGTAAATAAAGCAAATAAAGAAATCAATGAATCCATACATCAATAATGAATGAATGGATCCATAAATAAGTGAATGAATGAATGAGTAAGTGAAGGAATGGGTGCACGGATGGAGGGATGAAGCCACTTTTAAACAACTGGGTCCCGGGGCGACAGAGGGAGACCCTGAGTCCAGTAAAAAAAGAAAAAAAAAAAAAGCAAGTCAATGAATCCCATAAATAAATAATGAATGAATGAATCCATAACTAAGTGAATGAATGAATGAACAGCCCAGACGGGAGGGCTGTGGCCGCGGCAGACAACCTGCCAACGTCCCCAGGGCTCCAGCGTCGAGAGAGGGCACGGGGGTCTCACTGGGCTGTCCGGGCGCCCTCAGGTCATGCTTTTGTCTTGTTGGGCAGAGACGGGGTCTCGCTCTGTGGCCCAGGCGGGTCTGGGACCCCCCGGCCTCCAGCCATCCTCCCGCCTCGGCCTCCCAAGGCGCTGGGGTGACAGGCGTGAGCCCCCGCGCCCCGCTGGACTTGGCCACAGAAAGAAGAACCCACGAGTCCCCGAAAAACAGCTCTGGCCTCACCACCGAGGCCAACTCGGACGCGGCGGCGGCGGCGGCGGCGGAGGATCTCGTGACCACACCTGCCCCCTGCGTCACCCAAAAGTCACGTTTTGGGTCTGCTGGCTTTTAAACACTCAAGATCGAGCGAGTCTGGCCTGGTACAAGACAGAGGTTTGTTGATCACTAACAAAAAACAATGACCAGGCCCGCTGGCTCAGCCTGTAATCCCAGCACGCTGGGAGGCCGAGGCGCGTGGATGGCCTGAGCCCGCGGGTTCGAGACCCGCCTGGGCACCTTGGCGAGACATCCTCTCTACAATAAATCAAAAAATCAGCCGGGCGTGGTAGCGCGCGCCTGTAATTCCGGCGACGCGGAAGGGTGAGGCGGAAGGGTCGCCGGGGCCCGGCGGGTCGAGGCGGCGGTGGCCGGGAGCGGCCACGGCCCTCCGGGCTGGGCGACGGAGTGAGACGCCGACTCAAACGAAAGAAAACAAGAAAGCAGACCGGGCCACGGTGGCGCACACCTGTCACCCCAGCAGTCTGGGAGGCCGAGGCGGCAGGATGGCTGGGGGTCCGGGAGTTCGAGAGCAGCCAGGGCTACGTAGCAAGACGTGGTCTCTCCGTAATAAATAAAATTTAAAAATTAGCCGAGGCCAGACACGGGAGCTCACGCGCCTACTCCCAGCACTTTGCGAGGCCCAGGCGGGAGGATCGCCTGAGCTCACGGGTTCGGGACCAGCCCGGGCCACTCGGCGAGCTCTCGTGTCCCCGGGAAACCCCCCAAACCAGCCGGACACGGTGGTGCAAGCCTGGAGTCCCAGGCGCTTGGGAGGCTGAGGCGGGAGGACTGTGCTTGAGCCCAGGAGGTCGAGGCTGCAGGAAGCAGTGATGGCGTCAGCGCCCCCCAGTCGGGGTGACCGAGCGAGGCTCCGGTTCCAGAAGGCAGCCCGGCAGAGGCTGGGGTTCAGCCTGGCCCCCCGGGACCGGTCAACTTCCCGACCTTGGCCTTTTTTTTTTTTTTTTTTTAATTTTTGGTAGAGATGGGGTTTTGCTATGCGGCCCGGTCTGGTCTCCAACTCCCGGCCTCTAGCAATCCTCCCGTCTGGGCCTCCCAAAGCGCTGGGATTATAGGCACCACCGTGCCTGGCTAATTTCTAAATATTTGACACAGATGGGGTCTGGCTATGTTGCCCAGTCTGGTCTCAAGTTCCTGGCCTCTAAGAACCACCATGCCTGGTTAATTTTTAAATATTTGACACAGAAGGGGCCTTGCTATGTTGCCCAGTCTGGTCCCAAGTTCCCGGCCTCTAGGAACCTCCATGCCTGGCTAGTTTCTAAATATTTGACACAGAAGGGGCCTTGCTATGTTGCCCAGTCTGGTCTCAAGTTCCCTTAAGACCCCAGTCCTGGGGGCCATGACTCCCCCCCCAATTAATTCTGTCTGAAAACCCACCGCCCTGGGACTCGCTCTGAGATGGTTTCCCGGGCGAGGTCAGGAACCCCCCCCCAGCCCCGGAAAGTCCCGGGTTTGAGCCCCGGCGAGGTCCCGGGGGTCTCCCCGCCCCGACC